ACAAACTTTCCTTGGGCTGCGTTTGAAGCCCAGATCCGTCCCACGTGCTGGCCAGAAGCTTTCCTTGGGACAAGTTTGACGCCCTGATCTGTCCCAAATGCTTGCCACAACCTTTCCTTGCGCCGAGTTTGGAGCCCTGATCCGTCCCAAGTGCCTGCTAGAAGGCCGACTTTGAAGCCAAGTGCCTGCCACAAGCCTTCCTTGGGCCGAGTTTGAAGCCCTGGTCAATGCCTTTGAAGTTTTCCTGGGGCCGAGTTTGAAGCCCGGATCCGTCCCAAGTGCTTGCCAGAAGCTTTCCTTGGGCTGAGTTTGAAGCCCGGATCCGTCCCAAGTGCCTGCCAGAAGCTTTCCTTGGGTTGAGTTTGAAGCCCTGATCCGTCCCACGTGCTTGCCAGAAGCTTTCCGCGGGCCGAGTTTGAAGTCTTGATCGTCCGAAGTGCCTGCCGTTTGGGCCGACGAGTTTGAAGCCCTGATCCGTCCCCAGTGCCTGCCAGAAGCGAGTCTGAAGTCCTGAGATCCGCCCCAAGTGCCCAAGTGCCAGAAGCTTTCCTTGGGCCAAGTTTGAAGCCCTGATCTGTCCCAAATGCCTGCCAGAAGCTGCGCCGAGTTTGAAGCCCTGATCCGTTCCAAGTGCCTGCTAGAAGCTTTTTTTTGGCCGACTTTGAAGCCAAGTGTCTGCCACAAGCCTTCCTCGGGCCGAGTTTGAAACCCTGGTCAATGTGTTTGAAGCTTTCCTGGGCCGAGTTTGAAGCCCGGATCCGTCCCAGGTGTTTGCCACAAACTTTCCTTGGGCTGAGTTTGAAGCCCGGATCCGTCCCAAGTACTTGACAGAAGCTTTCCTTGGGTTGAGTTTGAAGCCCTGATCCGTCCCACGTGCTTGCCAGAAGCTTTCGTGGGCTGAGTTTGAAGCCCTGATCCGTCCCCAGTGCCTGCCAGAAGCTTTCCTTGGGGCCGAGTCTGAAGTCCTGAGATCCGCCCCAAGTGCCAGAAGCTTCAAGTTTGAAGCCCTGATCTGTCCCAAATGCTTGACAGAAGTTTGAAGCCCTGATCTGTCCCAAGTGCCTGCTAGAAAATTTTTTTTTGGGCCGACTTTGAAGCCAAGCGCCAGCAACAAGCCTTCCTTGGGCCGAGTTTGAAGCCCTGGTCAATGTGTTTGAAGTTGTCCTTGGGCCGAGTTTGAAGCCCGGATCCGTCCCAAGTGCTTGCCAGAAGCTTTCCTTGGGCTGAGTTTGAAGTCCGGATCCGTCCCAGAAGCTTTCCTTGGGTTGAGCTTGAAGCCCTGATCCGTCCCACGTGCTTGCCAGAAGCTTTCCGTGGGCCGAGCTTGAAGTCTTGATCGTCCTGCCATTTGGGCCGAGTTTGAAGCCCTGATCCGTGCCCAGTGCCTGCCAGAAGCTTTCCTTGGGGCCGAGGAAGTCCTGAGATCCGCCCCAAGTGCCAGAAGCTTCCCTGAAGCTTCCCTTCCCAGAAGCTTCCCTTGGGCCAACTTTGAGGCCCTGATCTGCCATTTGGGCCGAGTTTGAAGCTCTGATCCGTCCCCAGTGCCTGCCAGAAGCTTTCCTTGGGGCCGAGTCTGAAGTCCTGAGATCCGCCCCAAGTGCCAGAAGCTTGCCTTGTGCCAAGTTTGAAGCCCTGATCTGTCCCAAATGCCTGCCAGAAGCCTCCCTTGCGCCGAGTTTGAAGCCCTGATCCGTCCTGGAACTTTTTTGGTGCCGACTTTGAAGCCAAGTGCTTGCCACAAGCCTTCCTTGGAGCGAGTTTGAAGCCCTGGTCAGTGTGTTTGAAGCTTTCCTTGGGCCGAGTTTGAAGCCCGGATCCGTCCCAAGTGCTTGCCAGAAGCTTTCCTTGGGCTGAGTTTGGAGCCCGGATCCGTCCCAAGTGCCTGCCAGAAGCTTTCCTTGGGTTGAGTGTTTGAAGCCCTGAGCCGAGTTTGAAGCCCTGATCTGTCCCACGTGCCTGCTAGAAGCTTTTTTGGGCCGACTTTGAAGCCAAGTGCCTGCCACAAGCCTTCCTTGGGCCGAGTTTGAAGCCCTGGTCAATGTGTTTGAAGCTTTCCTTGGGCCGAGCTTGAAGCCCGGATCCGTCCCAAGTGCTTGCCAGAAGCTTTTTTGGGCTGAGTTTGAAGCCCGGATCTGTCCCAAGTCCTGCCAGAAGCTTTCCTTGGGTTGAGTTTGAAGCCCTGATCCGTCCCACGTGCTTGCCAGAAGCTTTCCGCGGGCCGAAGTTGAAGCCTTGATCCGTCCAAAGTGCCTGCTATTTGGGCCAAGTTTGAAGCCCTGATCCGTCCCCAGTGCCTGCCAGAATTGGGGCCCAGTCTGAAGTCCTGAGATCCGCCCCAAGTGCCAGAAGCTTTCCTTGGGCCAAATTTGCGCTTTGCTTGGGCCGAGTTTGAAGCCCCGATCCGTCCCAAGTGCTTGCCAGAAGCTTTCCTTGGGCTGAGTTTGAAGCCCGGATCCGTCCCAAACGCCTGCCAGAAGCTTTCCTTGGGTTGAGTTTGAAGCCCTGATCCGTCCCACGTGCTTGCCAGAAGCTTTCCGTGGGCCGAGTTTGAAGCCTTGATCCGTCCAAAGTGCTTGCCATTTGGGCCGAGTTTGAAGCCCTGATCCGTCCCCAGTGCCTGCCAGAAGCTTTCCTTGGGGCCGAGTCTGAAGTCCTGAGATCCGCCCCAAGTGCCAGAAGCTTTCCTTAAACCAAGTTTGAAGCCCTGATCCGTTTCAAGTGCCTGCTAGAAGCTTTTTTTGGGCCGACTTTGAAGCCAAGTGCCTGCCACAAGCCTTCCTTGGGCCGAGTTTGAAGCCCTGGTCAATGTGTTTGAAGCTTTCCTTGGGCCGAGTTTGAAGCTCGGATCCGTCCCCAGGGGCCGAGTCTGAAGTCCTGACATCCGCCCCAAGTGCCACAAGCTTTTCTTGGGCCAAGATTGAAGCCCTGATCTGTCCCAAATGCCTGCCAGAAGCTTTCTTTCTTGCGCCGAGTTTGAAGCCCTGATCCGTCCCAAGTGCCTGCTAGAAGCTTTTTTTGGCCGACTTTGAAGCCAAGTGCCTGCCACAAGCCTTTCCCTTTCGGCCGAGTTTGAAGCCCTGGTCAATGTGTTTGAAGCTTTCCTTGGGCCGAATTTGAAGCCCGGATCCGTCCCAAGTGCTTGCCAGAAGCTTTCCTTGGGCTGAGTTTGAAGCCCGGATCCGTCCCAAGTGCCGGCCAGAAGCTTTCCTTGGGTTGAGTTTGAAGCCCTCTTGATCCGTCCAAAATGCCTGCCATTTTGGGCAGAGTTTGAAGCCTTGATCCGTCGAGTTTGAAGCCCTGATCTGTCCCAAGTGCCTGCTAGAAGCTTTTGTTGGGCCGACTTTGAAGCCAAGTGCCTGCCACAAGCCTTCTTTGGGCCGAGTTTGAAGCCTTGGTCAATGTGTTTGAAGCTTTCCTTGGGCCGAGTTTGAAGCCAGGATCCGTCCCAAGTGCTTGCCAGAAGTTTGCCTTGGGCTGAGTTTGAAGCCCGGATCCGTCCCAAAGTGCTTGAGAGTAGCTTCTTTTGGGTTGAGTTTGAAGGCCGGATCCGTTCCAAGTGCCTGCCAGAAGCTTTCCTTTCCTTGAGCCGAATTTGAAGCCCTGATCCGTCCCCAAAGTGCCTGCCAGAAGCTCTTCTTGGGCCGACTTTGAAGCCCTGATCCGTCCCAAGTGCCTGCCACAAGCTTTGTTTGGGCCGAGTTTGAAGCCCTGATCCGTGCAAGTGCTTGCTGGCCGAGTTTGAAGCCTGTATCCGTCCCAAATGCCTGCCAGAAGCTTTATTTGGGCTGAGTTTGAAGCCCGGATCCATCGCAAGTGCCTGCCAGAAGTTTTCTTTATGCCGAGTTTGAAGCCGGGATCGTCCCACGTAAATGCCAGAAGTTTTCCTCGGGCCGTGTTTGAAGCCCTGATCCGTCCCAAGATTGCCTCCTCGGGCAAGCTTCGTGAACCGAAACGCTCGGAGAGCAGCAAAAAAAATCTTCAGGTGAGCAAGCTTTGTCGAAACGCTTGGAGAGAAGCAAAACAAGATTTTCTTCAGCTGACAACCAGCCAGAAGATTGCCTCTCCGGGCACGTTTTGTGCTCCGATTCGCTTGGCAAGAAACAAAAGATTTTCTTGAGCTGACAACCAGCCACAAGATTGCCTCCTCGGGCAAGTTTTGTGATCCGAAACGCTGCCACAAGATTGCCTCCTCGGGCAAATTTTGTGCTCCGAAACGCTTGGAAGAAACAAAACAAAAAGGATTCTCTTCAGCTGGCAACCAGCCACAAAAAAATGCCTCCTCGTGCAAGCTTAACGCTTGGAGAGAAACAAAACAAACAGGATTCTCTTAGCTGGCAACCAGCCACACAATTGCCTCCTCGGGCAAGTGTTGTGATCGATACGATTGGAGGTAAGCAAAAAGGCTTGTCTTCAGCTGACAACCAGCCACAAACTTGCCACCTCGGGCAAGCTTTATGATCCGTAACGCTTGGCAAGAAACAGAAAAAGAGTGTTTTCAGCTGACGACCAGCCACAAGATTGCCTCCTCGGGCAAGCTTTGTGATCCGAAACGCTTGGCAAGAAACAAAGAGAGATTTTCTTCCGCTGGCAACCAGCCGCAAGACTGCCTCCTCGGGCAAGCTTTGTGATCCGAAACGCTAGAGGGCAGCAAAATCAGATTTTCTTCCGCTGACAATTAGCCACAAAATTGCCTCCTCGGGCAAGCTTTGTGATTCAAAACGCTTGGAGAGAAACAAACAAGATTTTCTTCAGCTGACAATCGGCTCTCGGGCAAGCCAAGAGGCACCTCGAAGCCACACCCCGCCCGCTCTTGGCCAAACCGCCGGAATCGTGCGCACGCTCGCGTTCCCTACTTACCTTATTATTTTGGGTTGAGAAGCTTCTATATGGAAGCTTCACATGGACAGGACGAGTCCAGTCCTGTGCTTTGCTGGAAAAGCGGCGAGCTCGCGAGACAACGCAGCGGAGCTACTTACAACTGCTGTTCGAAGCTTCTCGGCCTGCTTTTGCTTCATCTGCTCCTGCTTCTGCCTCAGGGCTTCCCACCGATGCGGTGCCAAGAAACCCCGCCGCGTCGCTGCGCCTCAGCTCTTCCGCTTGCTTCAGGAGCTTCGCCTTCCTCTCCAGCCTCGCACAGTGACAGGGAGGCCGGCCCTCCGACTCCGACTCTGCGCCTTGCGTCGGCGCCCTCGCCGGGGCCGCTCTGGCCACCGGCAGCAGCGCCCGCTGCAGCAGCGTCGTCGCCGTCGGTGGCGCCCGCCGTCGTCTCTGCCTCGGCCTCTGCCTCTCTGCAGTCTCTGCACCAAGAACTTGATGATTTCCCTTGGCCGCTGCTGTTAACTGCCGCTAGCGAGGTTTGAAGAGGCACGTTCTACCGTCAAGCCGGTGAACATCTTGATGCCAGCAGACATGAGTGTTTCAGTGCCATGTAGACCCGACGGGCCCCCGTGGTACTGGCCGCTGATGGGTTCAGAATCTACGTCTCGAAGTGCGGGGAAGCCGGGAAACAGGACGCCAAAATGCTTCTGCGCTCTCGGCCCATTCGGCCCCCGGTTTTGGTGCCCAGAGCCGGGCCATGGCCCAGATTTGCTGAGGCCGCGGCATCGAGCATGCTGGCAATCAGATCCTGGGCAGCCTGGCAAAGAGCAGAGAAGAGTGCTCTGTCACCGAAACCTCTGAACCTAAAAACCGAAGTCTACATCCTACTATAATACTAATAATACTACATCTGCAGAGCTCACCCCTGGCTCGACTTTCTGCTTTCTCGCTCCGAGGCCTCCCGCTTTCGTTTCCTCTCCGCTTCGATGGCAGCGGCTTGTCTTTGAGCCGTCACCAAGTCCTTCAGTGCAAGGATCCGATCTTGACATCACCGTGGCGGCTGAAAAAACACAGGCGAAGCTGCCCGGCGCCTTCTTTGCCTGTTCCTCTGCCTCCTTCCTCTTCCTCTCCCGCTCCCGCTCGCGCTCCTCGAGGAGCCGCACCGAGACTACCCGCGAGCGAGTCACATGCGAGTCAGGTAGGCAGTACATGGCAGTACTGGCAGTGGGAGGCCGGGTGGCCGCCTTCTCCTTGGCCTCTTCCTCGGCGATGCGGCGCTGCTCCTCGACCGTGGCACCCCCCCCCCGTAACAGCCATATTCTCTTCTCCCGCTGGCTGCCGCTGGCTGCTGGCCGCTGCCTCCATGGAGTCGATGGCCTCTTTCCCAGCTTTCACCTTCTCGAGGTCATCGATGATGGCCTGCTGCACACACACACACGAGGCAACTAACTCAGCCCTCGCCGCGTCTTGGCTCTGCTCCCCACCAAAGCGTCCATGCCCCGGTACTTGTCGACGAGCCTGGCGCTCGAAACCGCGACTCCGAGGAGGCGGGGCCCGCCAGCGCCAGCGTCACCGGGGCCCCGGCTCGTCGACGGCAGTGCGCGGGCCCTCGAGAGCGAGGACTTCGTCGGGCGCCTTCAAGGCCTCACGCGCGCGCCAGAAAGCGCTCAGCAGGGGTCGCCTGCCACCTGCCACGCTCTGCGGCCCTCTGCTGCAAGCCCAGCGGCGTAGAGGCTGTCGGACCTCATGGCGTCCTCGCGGGCGATGATTCTCGGGAAGCGACGGCAGGAGAGCATGAAGCGTCGGAGCATCGAGCTGAGGGTTCCAGGTCCAAGCGGGTCCCGTCCTTGCTGCCGGTGGCCGTGGTCACCACGCAGGCCTCTCAGACTCTCAGGCACGCTGCGACGAGGTGCGGTGGGCCGCGCTGCGGTGTTCGCAAGGAGATCTCTGAGGCGTCGCTCCTGGTGAGCCTGGATCGTCGCCGCGTTCTTCTTTCGGTCGCGGCCTGAAAGAGCTTGCTATTCGGCTGGCTGACTCCCACTCCCTGCGGCTCCCTCCGTGGCACTCCCACTCCCTCCCTCCGGCTCCGAGCCCCGAACAGGCGAGGCACTCGGAATGGCTCATGTGGACGATGGCGTGGCACTCAGGGCAGTTCCTGTCCACGCTGTCGTATACGCTCTCTGGGTGCGCTCTGGGCCGCTTCACGCTCCCGAAACTTTCTGGTGCAAGCGAGCCGCTTCTGCCCGTTGCCTGGGCGGCGAGGCGATGCTACCGCTGATGCGACAGCATTTCCATGCAGAGGGTCTTCGCTTATCCGTCTTTATCACCATATCAACGCCAGGCGCCTGCAGTGGCGATACTGACAGCACCTCACTTGGCGCCCCAGCAATACATCTTCTGCGAGGCCAATGGGTAGAAGTCGTGGGCCCGCTCACCTGAGAATGCGATTAAACAGAGCGCCGGCTCTTCCGGCCTTGCGGGCCTGTAGCACCTTCCTCTCCTAACACCTCGGGTCGGGCCTGCAGGGCATTCGAGACAAGCGTTCTATGCACGAGCACACCCGCACAAGCACGCATGCGCACAGACACAGACACACACACACACTGATGGATTCGGCCAAGAGTACGAGTGCAAGAGGAAAAAGAGAGGCATGTTGTTGCAAAAGCTTGTCAGATTGCGGCAAACGTGCAAAGCTTTATGCTCAAGCAAAAGGTGGAAACCGTAAATGCACTAATCTTGCTGCCTCAGGGGGCCAGCGTTTTCGAATCTGGCTGCCTCAGGGGGCCCAGCTTGCAGGTACACAGTTCAGCGTCCTGAACTGCTTCCCACTCCATGGCATAGCTTCGTTGCATTGGGTCTGCCAAGGAGTGCCCAATGCCCCTGCAACAGTTGATTTGGTTAGTGTCCAATGTCAGATTATGTTGAAAAGCAAAAATTGCAAACAGTGTAGGAGTGACCCTCTGCTCCCATGTGCTAGGGAGGTTCACACACACACAGCCCCAAATGGGGCGTACATGCTTCAAGTAGAGTGAAAGGTCTGATGCACGGCAATAGGAGTGTATGGCGCACTTTTCTCGCTGTCAATAGCGATCGGGCGATTGTCGTATTTCCTGATCCGAACAGGTTCTAACAAAGAGCACCGGCATCAACGTGGCTAATGTGGTGACTGAATCCCAATCATGTAGTCGTCGTCGGTTTTGCTCGAAGAAGAAAGCTGGGATTTCAGGAGTTCTGCCGGTGATCTCCTTGATGCGGTAGGAGAAGATCTTGCGTGCTTGGAGAACGTTGTCGCCCAGACAAAGCACCACGTGTAAGAACATGTGCTTGTCTCTGGTGATGCGGTCGGGTGGAATTTCAACAGTCATCCGAAAACATTGTCCTGCCATGGAGTACCATGGAAGGCCGGCCTCGGCAGCCTTTCGCTTTGTCATACTTTTGCTGCTACCAACCGACAAAAGCTTGAACAATGAATGCAAATCAACATGGACATGATGTGTGCTCTGGCAAAACAACAAAGCGGTGTCGTCCTGACGTTCTTATGAGCAGGCTTTTTTGTCACGCTTAGCGGATCTTGCAGCACTAATCCGTCCTGAGAATTAGGGTCCAACAGCGAGTCTGTTGGGACAGTCACTCATGATCTTGAAATGGCAGCGACACCTGAATCCTGCACGTACCAGCATTTTTGCACAAGCGGTTTTGGACCGCTTGTGCTGAATAGTAGGATGCACAATATCGTAAGGTGCAATCGAGTCAGAAGACCAAGGATCTCGAGATGGAGACCGGTGTTGGTCCTCAGCCAGGTGTGACGTTGCCGTAGGTGATGCTGATGATGTTGAATGCGAAGAGCGTGTCCTCTTTCGTCTTGTAGTATGTGGATGTTGGCGTCGTTGCTGTGTTGTGGATTGGGATGGTGGTGAGATGTTGCGTGTTTTCTTTGTTTTCTTGACTGTTTTGTCCTTTTTGTCTTTGTTGTCTTTCTTCTTTTTTGTCCTCGTTGTGTGCTTTGTTTTTTGCTTGTGTGTGTGGCTGACTGCATGGGAGGATCTGGTGGTGTCGTCCTTCCTCAAGAAGGCATCAATCTCTTCGGATCCCCATAGGCTGCTGTCGTCATCCTCGTCCATTTGTGTGCAAAGCTGTCCTAATGTGTTTCAGCAACTGTAGGTTAGAGAAATGGCTGCGGAGTCACAACTGCATTGAGGCATGTGCAAACGTAGATCTTCAGAAGAGAGAGAGAGGCACACAGAGACATCAATCAGTTGACCGCGCAGACCTGCATGAACTTTCGACATGATGCTCTTAATGTTGAACCTCATCAGATGTGATGGAGTTCGAAGCACAGCTTTGCTGTGTGATTGTTGGCTGCCGGGGGCAGCAAATGTGCATCTAATTGTCAACTCAGCAATGCTGCTCACGGAGTTCTTGATCTCTTTCGCTTGTTGGATGTAGGAGTTGATGTAGTAGATACTGTCTCCTTTTGGGTAGGAGTCGTTGATGTCGGACGCTGATCAGGTTGCTCCGAATGCTTTCGTATCCACTCTTGAGATGCAATAAAGTACACTCGCCACCATGAAGAGCCGTTGGTGGCCCAATGCCATCTCCATTGTGATGCCGTCGGAGATCGCGATCTGGTGCGTTGTTCCATGATGCTAACACAACTGGTTGTTTTGCAAAATGCTGCGGGAAATAATGCATCAATCGCTGCATAACAAACCTATGTAAAATGAGTGCACTGACTGTAACAATTGGTAACAACGAAATCATTGTTTTCACCGTCCGCTGCAATGCGCCCAATGACGGGTATGAACTTGGTTGATCACCTATTGTTGCGAAGCTTCGAGTCGTTCAACTCGTTGCTTTAGCTCTGTGATCTGCCGGGTTGTTTGAAGAATAAACTCGGCTAATTGGTCGCGTAGTGCCCCGTCACTGAATGTGGAAGGTTCACTTCCAGTTTCCGAATCATAGTCCCGATGCTGTGTCAAAATCTCCATGATGGCCTCAGAGAGAGCTTCACGTCGTGCCTCATCGATGGGCGGTGAAGCTGTAGTCGCTGTGTTTGTCGGAAAAGATGCTTCGCTCATGGCTCTGTGTCGGGATTCCAAAGGTGTCACTCTGAGGCACAAAACTTCAGAAGGCAAAGTTATGGTGCATATCCGCAAGCAACATGTGTTCAAATGCAAGATGTGGGCACTACCTGGCTCTTTTTATACCAGCGTATTCAACAGCACATTCAGGACCAGTCTGGTGTGTTTTGCCTCATAAGGCTCTCGAGAATATCAAGTTGCTGTTTGCACGATGCCATAATGGCAGTGGTGGCTTCGTGTTGAGTAGTCAACACCGTTGTGGCCTGCTGTATCAAGCGTTCCAGCTTGGCATTCGATTCAAGCAACGAATTGTGAAACTGTGTTAGTAACTCAATAATCTCAGCCGATGAATCCGGACCAGAATGAGGCGGAGGTGGGAATGGCGGAGTCGCCGGTGCAGCCACAGCTGCGTCCTGCTGTTCTTGCGGATCTTGGTGTTGCTCTTGGTAATCTTGGAAATCTTCGTCTTCTGCAACACGTAGAAACTGAGAGCGTAAAGGCGCCGGCTGTTGAGTGTGGCTGCCAACAGCAGGCTGCTCGTTGCGGCGTCTGCTGTGCTTGGAGATGGATGGCCGAGGGCGGCCGCTCAGCGCTTTGTGGCTCGGCTGCAGTCTGCCAGTCATGGCACTTTTATACATGATGATGCCTCAGTTCGTCTCTGTAAATGGCTGCGGGAAACACTGTGTTGGTACAAGGCGTCTCACATGTTGCACAGTTGCAGGGCTCTGGACGCACGCACTGCAATTTGGCAAAGTGTTTTTGTTTACAGCTGTTGATCAGTGTAGCCGGCAGCGATGTACAGATCGCGCATGGCTCGAATGGCTGATGTGGCCTCGCTGCATGGTGTTGTCACTCTGCGTACCATGCGTGTGCGGGCCTGAAAACTGCTGCGAAGTGTTGCAACAGAGGTCGCCGACTGTGGGTGTAAAATGTCCGCCTTGTGCAAAGTGCAGTGATGTGTAAGGCTGCTGTGCTGAGGGTTTATGGCGAAACCCAGGAAAATGTTGGCCGGTTCAGTTTCAAGCTGAACCGGTGGTTTGTAGAAAGATGCGTCAGTAAGCTGTGCAAAAGGAGGCAGTCGGGTCATCTGTGCAGGCAGTAGAAGGACGCGGTTGTCGACGTATCTGGTAGCGAAAAAGTAAGCTTGATCCTGCTTGTTGTGTTCTGGAAAATGCTTATGGTTCGTGAAAAGTTGCTTGTATGTGTGATGCCAACACTGCTCTTCTACAGCAACCACGATGTTGCATAAAGCTGGGCTGCAGGGCGAGCCCATGGGTGCTCCACGAAATTGCTCAATGAGTGATGTACCGACAGTGAAATAGTTGAGCCTGAGCACCGCAATGATGAGTTGTGGTATGTGTTGCAATTGTATGCAAAGTTTGTTGCCGGAGGAAGCTTCCTGCTGCTTTTGTCTGCTTTTACCTCTGTGAACTCGATGTGTGGGGTCTTTCTGTGAGTGGTCAATGAAGAATTTGGAAGAGTGTAGTGGGTTCTTCTCTCTGTACCATCGGACCATGATGCTGTATGCTGAAAGAAACCGGCTTTGATCGACCGATGTAAAGAAGCCAGCTAAATCCTGATTGTACAGGATGTAATCTGTTGAATCTTGCATTTTCCTGCGCTGATGCAAAAAGAGCGCTGTTTGCATGAGCTGTGTTATCCCGTCTCCTTGGTGAAAGGAGTTTGGGCATGCTTGAAGGGTCATCAGCTGCAGTACATCTGCTAAGGCCTCCCATAATTTCCTGCCCATGGTGTCGATGAACGCCACTATGGGACGTCCTTTCGTGAATTGCTTCTTTCTTTTGGGTAAAATGTAGGCACGTGGGATGCGTCCCCACTGTGGAAACGCCCATGTGTAAGCTGGTAGTAGACTGCAGATGTCTGTGTAGACATCGAAGTGGTGTTGTAGAGGTTGGCGCTGCGACATCCGAAAAATCTCTTTGTCTGAAAAAGTGTTGTGTATGGCAGTGTGGTATAGTGCTGGGCAGTACCACGTTAGTCGGTTCGGGAAGTGATCTTCGCAATGGATGATGCCCGTTGGTATTTTGTGTTGGACTTGCTTGATCATCTTGACCTGTAGTATGTTGTTTTGAATGCAGTGTGTATTGTGTTGTAGTATTTGCTCTGACGCAAATTGCTTTGCAGTTTGGTGGTTGTGGGGTAGTCCATAGTGTCGGTGCCATGTGCGTATGGCTCGGCACAATTGTGACGCCAACTGTGTGGGCTTCTGAAGGCAATTGCTTTTGCCGGAGTATGCCAAGAACTGGTGTTGTGGTTGTAGTTCTGCAAGTTGGATAGCGATGTGATTGTGGAAAATGTGCTCCTGGGGTACTTGTGACTGTAATGGTGAGCAT